TTTTGAGATCTTTTATATTTGTTCATATAATGATCTAGCGCATAAAATAAAAATAAAATAGTAACAATAAATTAAAAATAAAAAAATTATTTTATAATTTAAATTATCCTAAATTATAAAATTAAGACTCTTATATTGGAGAAGAATAACTTAATATCAAATAGCTCTCCCTAATTTTATTATTCATTTTCATCCTTGTTTGGACGTGGAGAAGGTATGGGCTTGTTTTTGAGTACTGGGCTTACATCAATTCCTAAAGAATGGGGAATGAGGCTTTAGCGGGTTTATCCAAGTCCAACCCCAACTTGAAGGGTGAGCTTGGGTTAATTATCAAAGGCCCATCAAAGTAGTTAGCCGCAACATGAATCCAATAAGTAGGCTGGTTTTTGACCCATAACATGGCCACGTTTGGGCCCTGGAACATACATAACATTTCCTTATTTACAATTTGGTCTTTAAGATTTTTTTTTTTTTTAGGGGTAAATGTCTCAACATTTTCTATCCTTCCCCCTAAATGCCTTGATTGAAGACTTTGAATTCCTGAACTAACCACACTAAGCTCAATGGAATGAATTGTCAGACCACAGATTAATAATTTTTGTGGTCGCAAAACATAACAAAATACCCAAACAAACTCTCATATTTGACTCAATTATGATCAACTTTGTAAGCAAGGAGCATTTTTTTTTTTTTCCACATTGCTTTTGTCATATTAATTAGTTGGTAGAATATTTATCTGTCATGAAAGAGTTCATTGAAGGATATATTTTGAGGCTGTTTGTTTCAATTAAGAAGTAACAACTATTATATTTTCATTTATAATTTTGATGAATAAAAATATTTGAATTATAAATAATATCAATTATTAGTTATTAATTGTATTTAAACCATTAATCTAAACAAAACTTGAATTTCAAACAACAATTGTTGTTGTGAAATTGAGGAAAACCATATAAAACTGGAATGGGATAAAAATAAAACCAATATGATCATAAATATCAAATTAACAAAAAGGAAGGGCTATGCACTTGTAAAAAAGAATCTCTAACGATTGTTATTAGAAATACTGTGGGTTTGGTCTCCACTCTTCGATTAGGGGTACGATTGGACACGTAAGGGCAGGAGTAACTAGGAAGCGAGGAATATATGTGGGACTGGGTGTTCTAATTGCATGGTCTAAGAAAACGACAATCTCATGAAATTCACCTTTGATTCCCTGGTGTTTTGGCTGGCCCTGGGCCTGAGTCCCATTAAAGCTTCAATTTGGGAGCGCTTTAGACCGCAATTTTCTCATAACATTGTAGTTAAAAATTGTTAGCAATTTTAATTAATATCATCTATATATTTTTAATAAAAATTATACACATAAAAAAAATGAAAAATAAAAACCACCTAGAAGGCTAGAACCTCATAGCGTAGCAGCACAGGACTCCCAGAAAAAAAAAAAAATCTCTGTTTTCTCAAATTTTCTGTTCCTCTATACTGCTCCCATGTCTCGTCCTTAAAAAGCACTCCTCGTGCTACGTCAAGGTCACCTTGCCGGTACTCTTTCTTTTTTTTCTTTTTTTAAGTATTAAATACATAATATAAATTATTAAACAGAATATAGTCATATTTTAAAGGTTATTTAACTAATTAAAAACATAAAATTTTAAATTACAAATTTTTATTTTTATTTTTGAGTTAGATAGAGAAAGATTTTTTTTTTTGAATAAATGCAATTTTGAAAGAAGAGGAAAAAGTTGAACCCGACTCATAAAACTGGAAAATATATCTATAAACCAGGTGACTTGTAAAGTTAAGTGTAAATGGAGAAAGTGAAAGAGTTAAACCCATAGCTCATAAAAGTAAACAGTGCACCTATAAACCAAATGACTTGTAAAACTTAGTGCAAATGGAGAAAGATAAGAGTATAAACCAAGTAGTTTGTAAAGTCAGGTGCATACGAAGAAAGATTTTAAAAAAAATAAAAGTAGATATACCAATAAAAATATAAAACTTGGTGTTAGGGTTATATCTCTTTTATAAATTTTATTTTACAATTCTATGCGTGTCTAAATATTAGAAGAAAAAACTCTTTTTTTAATCTCACAGCGAGAAGATGATACGTAAATTTGAACACTTTCAGGCCACTTTAGAAATCTCGCCGAGGTTTCGTAACGCCTCAACGTACAAATCTGCATGAATTTTGCGCAAGACCAAATCCCGAAGAGAGCAACTCCATACAGTCTGATCCGAGCAGTCATAGGGTAGGAATGAGGATTAATCAAAATCAAGAGTCCTCACCCAATTCGCCACGTGTATGGCACTGATTCTGCCACCTCTTATTATCCAATTCGGACGGCCTTGATCATCGATCATCACTACCCCGGCATCCTTTTGCTTATGAAAGCGGCAAAGCTAACTATTCTTTCCCTACTTCAACAAAGTTCCCTCCTTTTTTAGTTTTTTTCCTCCTCAAGTTTCAGTTGAGACAACAAGGAAGGGATCTCTGGAACGTTATAGCTCAAAGTAAAGAATTCTTGTAACAAAGCATAACTTCTGGATTCCCCTTACTGTTTAGGAAGTTTCATGAATTTTGCTTCAACTTCATGTTATGAGATATATGGGTTTTCTTTGTTTCTTTGAGGGAGCTTGACTTCATGCTGAGTTCTGGCATTCTCTGTGCTGGGTTAAGGTTGGGAAATTAGGCATTTAAAGCCTCCTGAAAATGGGGTTCAATGTATAAAGTTGAGTTCTTGTTTTGGTTTTAGTATTTAAAATCTCAGCTTTGGTGTGTGTTTTGGTGAATTTTTAAGTGTTTTATTTCATTGGAATTGTGTTAGAGTCGAATAATGTGGATTTTTTTATTTTTATTCTGTTCGTCTGATTAAGTGGAGAGATTAATGTGGGTGATAATAATCAGGGAAATTTGAGTTATTTTCTATACCCCTTTTGTGCCAAAATTTAAGAAATGCCACCAGAGAGAAAGGAACGGATACTTCCGCGCGAACTCTGTTCCTCTGCATGTTTCCCACGTACCTCTAGAGAGGAACATGTCAGAAATGGGGTAATAGGGTATTCAAGAGTGGTGTATTGCAATGACCCAGATAACCCAGATGCAATTCGGCGTAAATATAGGAGAAATTACGTGTCTACCACTAAGTATACCCTGGTTACTTTTATTCCAAAGTCTTTGTTTGAGCAGTTTAGGAGGGTTGCAAATATATACTTTCTTGTTGTAGTTATTGTATCATTTACCCCATTGGCGCCATATTCGGCTCCCAGTGTTCTCTTACCTCTAATAGTAGTGATTGGATTAACTACGGCCAAGGAAGGTGTGGAAGATTGGAGGCGATGGAAGCAGGTAATACTCAAATATCTATTACTTGTTCAATGGCTTGCTTCTGGGACTTTCAGCAGTTTGTTTATTTTTCATTGCAAACAATTTATTTATTTATTTATTTATAGTATTATGTACAAATTATTAGCAACTTTCATGGTGAGAGTACCTGATTAGAGATAACATCTGATCTGAAGAGCCTTCCGATTCTCGGGAGAGTTTCTTGAAAACTATTTTGTATTTTACCTGTTTCAGTTATACATTCATCACTACATTTAACAAGGTGTTCAATAAAGCAAAAGATCCTGATTGAGTTATCTGTTATTTGGCGGTTTCTAAACGAACACAATGCAGCTTCAGTTGTTGAGCACTGTCTTAGAGTTCTCTTTCTCTTTCAGACTGCATGCAGACTGAAATACTGTCTCTTGAGATTTATCTGCATTCTGTTCCTTATTCAAGCCCTTTTATTTATTTATTTATTTTTTACTTAAATGCAAAGTTACCTCATGGGGTGCTTCTTCTTTCTAATGAAATTGCTTTTTGAATTTATACATGCATTTGAGGTTCTTTTTAATGGTTTCAGGACGTAGAGGCCAATAATCGAAAGGTTCAAGTGTATGACGGAAATCATTCCTTCAGGGTGACTAAATGGAAGAATCTCAGAGTTGGTGACGTCGTTAAGGTGCAGCTAGATGAATATTTTCCTGCGGATTTGCTTTTGCTTTCTTCAAGCCATAATGATGGTGTTTGTTATGTTGACACCAAGAACCTTGATGGAGAGACTAATTTAAAGCTGAAGCAAGCCTTGGAGGTTACCGCACCCTTGAATGATGAAGAGTCCATTCAGAACTTTGAAGCAGTGATCAAGTGTGAGGACCCAAATGAGCATCTTTATTCTTTTGTGGGAGCATTGTACTATCATTGCATGCAGTATTCACTTTCCCTAAAGCAGATCCTTTTGAGGGATTCTAAGCTGAAAACTGATCACATATACGGTGTGGTTATTTTCACTGGACATGATACAAAAGTGGTGCAGAATTTTACTGATCCACCTTCCAAGAGGAGTAAGATTGAGAGGAGGATGGATACGATTATATATGTTCTTTTCAGTACTCTGATTATAATATCTTTAGTTGGATCTCTATTTTTTGGAATTCAAACTAAAAGAGATATTAATGGCCAAAAGTACAGAAGGTGGTACCTTCGACCAGATGATGCAACTGTGTTCTTTGATCCCAGAAGAGCAGCCCTTGCTGCATTTTTTCATTTCTTAACGGCCCTCATGTTGTATGGATACTTGATTCCAATATCATTATACGTGTCAATTGAGATTGTCAAGGTTTTACAGAGCATTTTCATTAACCGAGATCAGGACATGATTTATAGGGAAAAAGATAGGCCAGAGTTTCCAGCACGTACACGGACATCTAATTTGAATGAAGAACTGGGTCAAGTTAATACCATACTTTCAGACAAAACAGGCACTTTAACCTGCAATTCTATGGAGTTTGTCAAGTGTTCAATAGCAGGTGTTGCCTATGGACGTGGTAGTACAGAAGTGGAGATCGCCTTGGCAAAAAGAAGAGGTGAAATTCCGCATGACGTTGATGGTTCTTCATCTAATGTCCCAACACCTTCTGATGATACTATTGGTGCTGAGAAGTACATGAAAGTATCCAAGTTTAGTGATGAACGGATTATGAATGGGCGGTGGGAACATGAACCTCATTCAGGTGCCATTCGGAAATTCTTTCGTGTATTAGCAATTTGCCATACAGTGATTGTCATCTCAGTATCCAACAAAGAATTTTACGAAGCTGAATCTCAGGATGAACTAGCCTTTGTCAGGGCAGCAAGGGAGCTTGGTTTTGGGTTCTTTAGAAGGACTCCGACGAGCATAGAAATACATGAATTAGATCGTACGAAAGGTGAAGAAGTTCCCAGGTAATCTTTTTGGAATTTGGAACCATTTTCATTTTCCTTTTTCTCCATTAGTAGATAATACCTGTTTATGCTGATGAGCCTGAAACAGCTGCAATTGGGTAGTTTACTGGATGCTGGTTGATTGAATTGCATATTATAATGCATCCATTAAGTTTTTTATGTTTTCCCAACCTAATAGTTTCTATATTTCAGAGTGTACAAGCTGCTTCATGTCTTGGAGTTCAGTAGTTCTCGCAGAAGAATGTCTGTGATCGTAAGAAATCCAGAGAATCAGTTGTTACTCCTTTCCAAGGGTGCAGACAGGTTAGAATCCA